TATTTATTTATTTATTTATTTATTAAAAAAATTTTTTTTTAATGTTTCATTTATTTCTGAGGGAGAGACAGCATGAACAGGGGAGGGTCAAAGAGAGAGAGAGACACACAGAATCTGAAGCAGGCTCCAGGCTCTGAGCTAGCTGTTAGCACAGAGCCTGACGCGGGGCTTGAACCCACGATCCATGAGATCATGACCTGAGCTGAAGTCGGACACTTAACCGACTGAGCCACCCAGGCGCCCCTGTCCTTTTTTTTTTTTTAAAGAATAAAACAAGTACTAACACTGTCATATACTCTCCCCCTCCCCATCCCAGGGACGTATCATCATCCCCATCTTGCAGATAAGAAAACTGAGGCTAAGAGACACCACTGTTTCACCAAGTCACGTACTTGCTAAGGACAGGGCTGAAAGAAAAGTCTCAGGATCCGCCTGCTTCTGAACCCTGGCTTTGCTCCACTCCACCGTAGCATGTACAGGGGAGGGTCCTGAGGACTGCTGGGGCCCCGGCCTCTGAGCTCTGAAGGTTCTGGATGCATGCACACCACGGGATATGCAGCTTTACACAGAATTCCAGGTTAAAATATTCCCAGTCTGGGCGCTCCGTCGCCACCACCCCAGGGAAAAGTACAGGTAAATCCTGGGAAATTCGGGCACAGCTCCACTCTGCCAGGACCCGGTCGTTTTCCCCACTGGGCTCCTTCACGTTTGTCTCTGTACCCACCTGCTCCCGAGTCCCGGAACCATGTGCTCTGGGCCAGCTGAGGGAGGCAAGTGGGAGGGGGACGGAGAAAAGCCCCCTCACCACCTGGGAGTTAAAACAGCTCTGCGGCAAGAAAGGGAAGGCGTGCCCTGGGACCCAACGGGAAGCCAGGAAGCCACTCAGGAATCAAGAAGTCAAGGGGTCAAGAAGAGCCAAGCAACTCCAGGATATTCGGTAACTTTGCTTGTTTGGAGGACTCTTCCTGGAAGCTTGCATCCCCCCCCCCCCCCCCGGCCTGCAGCAGGACACAAGCAGCGGTGCCATCACAGAGGGCAGAGCCCGGAGGGGAGGGCAGGCACCTGCTGGGGACCCCCTCTGCCTGGCAGTGGCCCGGATGCCCCGCCCTCCAGCCCAGCACCCCACAAAGCGGCTGGGCTTGAAATCAGATCTGCGAGGCCCTGTTGGGTTTCGCTTCCCTTCTCCTGAGAGTCCAGGGCTCGGCCGAGGAGGGGGATCGAAAGACACTGGAGGCTCTCCAGAGGGTGGATCTGGACTCACTCCAGAGCAGGCTGGCAAATCTCCGTCTTGGTCCTGCCGGAGCACGCAGGGTGGAGGCGAAAAGCATGGACCCTGGAGCCAGACTCCCCACCGTGGTCTGGCCACGCTGGGTGCATGACACATGCCTCAGTTTCCTCGCGCGCTTTCAGAGGGATTGGCGCCATTATGTACTTCCTAGCGTTACTGTAAGGATTAAATAAACTCATATAAGCAAAGCCCTTAGCGCAACAAAATGGGTGAGGACTCACATATTTGCTATGAAGATGCTGTAATGTTCTCTCTCTCTCTTTCAGTGGATGCCCCATGCCCATGCCTTGAAAGGTAGAAGGAAAATCCCAGTATCCTCAGTGACACTCCGGCCAAGTTCAAAGACATCTACCTCCAGTGTCACCTGATGATACCAATCCAAAAGGCTCCAGAACTGACCGTTTTCAAGTCCTTGTGTGGGGGGGTGGGAGGGGTCAGGATGAAGTGTTGCAGGGGGAGGGGGTCCTCCAAGCTTCTGAAGCCCGGGATAGACTGCAGTCCCCACCAGCCGTGGGGCAAGGCACCCAAGACGTGGCTTCTCTCTGCACCTGACTTCCTCCCTTCCTGACCTTTCATGATGCAGGATGGATGAGCCTGGCTTCTGTCGGACAACACTTAAACTCTTGCTGATTTCAGCCTGATAGGGGGATGGGGGTTGAGGCAAAGGTGAGATAAAAGAAACGCCGGCCATTCCTCTCTAGGATGAGGGCTGGATAATGAGGAATCTGGGGCACGGTGGGTGCCAGCAACAAATAATGCACAAAACCTCCACACGCTCCACCCCCAATCAAATACTACCTGGCTCTTTGGACCTCAGCCAACTCTCACTAAGGTGTAAGAGCTGTAGCGGAGCCCAAAGAGGGCTCCTTGTGTGTTCTCCCAGGCAAGGGCGCTAGTCCCCTTTTAATACATCAGGGTCAAGGGCGATACTCTAAGGAATAAAGAAGGGTTGCAGGGAGTGGGCCCCTGGGGGTACAGACAAAGGAGGGGCAGGGAACAGAAGACAGAACAGAGCCCGGCTTCCCTGGTCACCCTGGGAAGATCTGGGAGCTGGGGTGTGCAGCCCACATTCAGTCACCATAAGGACGGCATGGGCACAGGTCCTGAGCAGACCCGGCCGAGCGAGACACCGTCCCTGCGAATACACCCAGGGTGTTTCTCACCCTGGCACTGCTGCCTTTCAGATGCCCCCGCTCCTGGGATGAAGGAAAGGGAGAGTAATGCCAGCAGGGCAGCTCAGTCTCTGTGGAAGCCATCCTTCATGAGTGTGCCCCCCACTGCCCTCGCCTGACCCCCAAAGGGAGACCCTTCCCCAGCTCGGGAGGTGGAGTGGAGACTTCCGGTGCCCCTGTTCCTGGAAAAAGGAAGGGTCTGGATGCCAGCGCCTGCCACCCTGGCATGGAGCCCCGAGCTGCAAGCTGGCAGTGCCTGGGGGAGACTCTGATGTACGTTTCTGGAAGGAAGCCCAAGGCGCCACAAGAGGCGTATTTTCAACCAGAGCTTCGAGGACACACTGAGTGGGAATGTGGGAAACCAATAGCTTAAACTTCCTCCGTGATACGCTGTGAGCAAAGAGGGACCACATTCAGCCACACACCCACCCACCCACATGCACGCGTCCCTCAAGGCGTGGCCATCCAGTTCCTCCAGAGATGGCTGGCACGGGTCTGTCTTCCCCTGAGCATCCCACCCAGAAGTCTTCGCCAGAGCAAGCCCTTCAGGACCCTCAGCCAGCTGGCTCCCTGGTTTGCTTCCTTTTCCCAAGGTTGAGGATAAAGCTCCAGTACAAAGGTCAGAAGACCCAAGCTGGGGTCAGCCCTCTCTCAGCTTCCAGGGCAAGATTGCTCAACCTCTATCCCTCCGCCCCCAGGCCTTATCTCTTGCATCAGCCTAGATCCTGTTCCTCCCAGGGACAGGCTCCACCCTCCCCACCTAGGGCAAAGGAAGCCTGGAGACAGGCGCCAATCTGCAGCTCTCTACTCCCAAACCAGAAAAGGGGTGAGAGACTGATTGGGAGAGAGGCGGTGAGAGAGAGGGAAAGGGAGGAGACAGAGAGAAAACAGGCAAGCCTGGCCAATATCAAACCCCTTGCCGGCCACACCTGGGCACAGCCTGTCCTGGTCACAGGCATCGATCAACCACTCCAAAGGGGTGGGGATTAGAATCCCTGAACCAGAGCCAATCTGAGGCCAGGCTGGGAAAGCGCCTGACTTGTCAAGAAGGGTCTAAGATTCCTCTTGCAGGTCAACATCTGTCGGGAGCGGAGGGGAGAGTCCCCCCAGCCTCACTTTGTAGATAAGGCTCTCATTTGCTTGGGGCTCCTTGGGCTCCCGGACTGCGGGGGCTGGGGACTGTCAGTCTCCAAGAGGCAGCAGGACAGAAGGAGATCTGGGTTCACACACCCACTTGGTATAAGCGTCAGTGGGTGGACATGTGTAAGAGAGAAATGGAGGGAAAAAAGAGGGGTCAAGGGAGGAAGGCAGAAACCCCAAAGGAAGGAATGTTCCAGGTAGAGGCCGGAGCTAAGCAGTTTGATGGGGTCCGTGAGCTCAGGGGGACATCAGAGGGGCTGGGATTCATCCCAAGCGTCGCCATTTGGGAGCAGACCCACTTGATCACACCAGCCCGCTCCCAGTCCCGGGGTGGGTCACCAGGACCCCGGGGAAGACCAGAACCCACGGGGATCTCTCCCAGGGTTCACCGAGAAGCCCCTGTTGGTGGGAAGGAGCAGCTGTCCTCCAGGAGCGGTGGCCAAAGTCCACATTTGGAGGAGATAAACCACACTAATCAGTCACATGGGCAGCTCACACACGGCAGCTCAGGAGAGGTGGAGCCCCATGGCACCCCCACACTCCTGGCAGGCTCCTAGCTACCTCTGGGGCAAGGAGTCTCACCTAGCTCCCCTGGATGCCCCATTATTGCTCCGGGAGACCTGGAGCCATCTAGAGGCCTGGATGGGCCCAGCTCGGGTCCAGAAAACTCCCCGTTGCTGGGGAAAATCCACAGCTCCGTTCCCCCTTCCTTTGTGCCCTTTGTTCTCTTAAAATTCAGTCCATCCTGCTGGTGGTCCCCTCCTCCACCCCAGCCTCAGAAAGAGGGCGGAGGCGGTGGGGAGTTATTAGAAACCCAGGCTGTTCGAAGAAGTTGCCTTGCAGGCGGCCCTCCTGTAACCGGGCCCCTCATTGTTTACGCCGGCTGCATGGGGAAAGCTTTCTCGGGTCCAGATGGCTGCTGGGGGTCAGGATGACGGAGATCGTCCCTCCAGCACCACGCAGCCTCTAGAGAAGAGGCGGCAGGCTTCAGCAGCTCGGGGACCCCTTTCCCCATTCAACTGCTCCGATACACACGGGCAAAGAATAGGCGCCGAGGACGCAGCTGAGGGCGTGGGAGCCAGTCAGATTGTAAAGGGTGAACCGAAAAGAAAAAGCATTGTATTTCCCCTCCATTCTCCCAGGGAGAGAAAGAAAACTTCCAAAGCCCAGGCTGCAGTATCTCTACGGGAAACACCAGGAATCTGGTTTGAGTTAACAGAGAGCACCCCTCCCCCAGCACCCGCGCCCCCCCCCCCCCCCCCCCCCCCCCCCCCCCCCCCCCCCCCCCCCCCCCCCCCCCCCCCCCCCCCGGCTCAGTCCTCTCCCAGGAAGCCCTCCCAGCAGCAGCCTTCCTGCTCCGGCTCCCCGTTCCCGCCCGGCTCTCCCGGTCGGACACTCACCGGCGGCGGCGGCCCAGCCCGCAGGGCAGCTGGTGAAGGACGCACCCTTGGCAGGGGCAGTTTTGTACCCCCGGCTGGGGGCGCTCCAGGGAGGGGGCGGAGCCAGAGACGGCCGACCGCAGCTCCACCGCCCCAAGCGGGTGATTAAATCATTAACCGACCGCTCGCGGCCGGCAGCCACGCCAGGAGCGCTCAGCCCCGGGCGCACCCGGCGCGCCGAAGCCGCGCGCGGCCCCTGCCAAGGCCACCAGCTCGGCTGAGCCCCACCCCGCCGGGAGGCACCGGGCCGCTCCCGCCGAGGCCTCCAGGTCTCCCAGGAAGCGGGCGGGGCGGGAGCCCGGAGGTGGAGGGGGGGGCGGCTGGAAGGGGGGAGTATTTGTTTCCTCGGCCGTTCCCTTCCAGGCCGCTCCTTCCTTCTTTCCTCCCTCGCCCGGTGACACTGGGTGGCGTGTGCTGCAGCGCGTGTACGAGAGCGAGCGCGTGTGTGCACGCCTCCGCCACTACACGCGAAGATTCGGCTCTTGTCCACGGAGAACTCCGTGCGCACACACGCCCCCCTCGCGGAGACGGCGGGCGGCGCCCTGCGATTGTTGCGCCCCTGCCCATCCCAGCGCACGCCCCATTCCCGGACCGGCGGGCGGACCTCGAAAGCCGGGGACAACCCCCGCCACAGGAGCGCCCAGGGCCGGACGCCGAATCCCAGTCTAGAGAAAGGAAATCGAGGCAGAGCGCGGTTTCCCGGGCTCTCGGCCACCGCCCGCCCACCTCCCCAAAGCCCGCTCGGCTCCCACACGGGGTGCGCGGCTACGGGTCCCCAGCACCCGGGCCGCCCCGCGCGCGCCTCGGCCCAGCCCTTCCACGCCGGGCCGGGCGCAGGAGAGGGGGTGGAGGGGTCCCTGGGCCCTCCTCCCCGCCCCTCAGCCCCCCGTCGCGGCGTCTTCCATGCTCTCCGCCCCACCAGGGGCCTCGAGCTCCCCCCAGGCCGAGCCCACCCAGGCCTCGCAGGGCGCGGGCTGCTGTCGCCTACCTGGGTCCCCAGAGACGCGAACGCCGGGCCGGCGCGGCTGTGCTGTCCCCTCCGTGGGCTCCGCGCGGCGCCGGGGCTGGAGGCCCATGTCAGCGCCGGCGTCGGCTTCCCTCTGGCCCTCGGGCTCCTGGGCGCTGGGCGGCGAGCCGCTCGGACACTCCCCTTCCAGGCTCCTCCCGCGCCCTCCCTCCCGCGCCCTCGGCGCTGGAGTCACGGCGCCGCCTCAGCCAATGGCGGCTGGGAACTCCCGCCCGGCCGCTGGGCCTCCTCGGTTCAAATCTGCTAGTCTCAGGCTGCCGGGGATCCAGGTGGGGCGGCCCGGAGCGGGGCCGGCGGGGTCCCGGGGGCCCCAGCGGTGACCGGGAGCCAGTACCCCCCACCCCCGCCCCGCTCCCAGCCTCCCGGGCCCGGCACCGACGGGAGAAGGGACCCCGGGGTCTGGGCCGCCCGGACCGTGGGTTCCACCCCGGACCCTTACTGGAAATGAGAGGGGTGGGAAGGAGCGGGCCCCCCAGCCCCGTAGAGGGTGTTAGCGGGGTCTGGGCGGGGTCGCCTGGCTTTGATCGGCTTGCTTTCCCAAGGTGTGTGCCCTTTGCCTCCTGAGTATCGCGGAGGCTAAGTTCTGCCCCAGGTGGACCCAGAGGACGATGAACTGCTGAGTCCCAGAGAAGCAGGCCTTGGTCTCCTTCTTCGCAGGAATGGCTTCCATTTGTAAATGATCATTACCAAGGTAATACACGCCAATGGAGGGATACTGCACAGGAGAGCGGACCCCACGAAGTGAGAATTCCCTTGCCCTTAGCAGCTCCCTGGGTTTCAAAGGAAGCAAGGCGAGGGGGCCTGTCTGGCTCAGTCGGTGGAGCCTGCGGCCTCTTCATCTCGGGGTTGTAAGTTTCAGACCCACGGTGGGTGAAGAGATAACTTAAAAATAAAAATCTTAAAGAAATAATAAAGTGAGTCAGGCAGAGGTGGTGTGCAGGTCCCAGACTCTTGTCTGGCTCAGTCGGTGGAGCCTGCGCCTCTTCATCTCCGGGTTGTAAGTTTCAGACCCACGGTGGGTGAAGAGATAACTTAAAAATAAAAATCTTAAAGAAATAATAAAGTGAGTCAGGCAGAGGTGGTGTGCAGGTCCCAGACTCTTGACTTTCAGTGGGACCCCCTTGGGGGACCCCTTTAGGCTCCTGCTTTACCCCACGTTGCTGGCATTCCAGATCCTTCTGAAACCACAGCTCAACCTTGTCTGTCTGGAGAAAACTTAACCTAGTTTGCTGAGGCACCGCACCCTGCCCCTTCTTCCCTGCAGTTTTAACACACTATTTTGTCCGTTAGGGCTAGCTGTTTAGTAATTTGTTCTTTTTGCAGGAGGCTGGGGTTTGGCCTTCCCAGTTAGATTACACGTCAATTAAGCATACCTCCAGGACAAAGTCCTCACTCTTTGTAATTCTGCCCCTCCTTATCCAAATTCAGTGCTCTGCAGGAAGGCTCCTTCCTCAAACTTTTAACCATCGAGTGTTGTTTGCCTTTGGGGCAAAGATGTGTAAAACACAACCCTGCCCTCAGAATGTCCCGGGATGGAGCTCAGTGGGTGCTTCTAGATGGTGATCCGGTCTGCTTTGCTAGAACCCTGCCTGGAAGAGAGCCTTGATTGAAATAGTGTTACTTTTCTCTGTGAATTTTCAGGGGCTTCTGCCTCCCAAGTATCTGCTGAGGCTAAGTTTTGCTCTGACCTTTCAGACTAGAGCGGCCTATTGAGTAAGCAGAGGAAATTAACAAAACGAGAAACTTGCCTCTTGAACATCGACCTTGAAATTTCTGGCGAGCTCTAAGCCCCTGACTTTGGAGAGGGATTTGAGGTCTTAACTGCACCTCTGCTATAACTTGACCTATAAGCCTTTAGGCCTGGGCGCATGTTTCTGCCTGTGGAAACTGCTGGGGCCTGCCCTGGGGGGATGGGCATATGTGATCTTAAGCTGCAGGGGCCTGCCCTAGCCCTGCTCCCCAGGGTACCTACCCCTCCCAGACTCACACCTCCCTGCTTTGTCAACACTGGGTTCTGGGCGTCTTAGTTCCTATTATTTTGCCCCGGCCTTGAGGGTCTATTACCTTAGGGGGGGGTTAATCCTAGTTCCTTGTAGAGAGGTCACCTAGTCAGCTTTGCCGTAAAGTATGACTCTGGATGGGTCATTCTACTGTCCGGAATGACCCGATCTATGGTTTCCCAGCTCTATCCTGAGTCCCCTCACCATCCTCCACCCCCCCCCCCCCCCCCCCCCCCCCCCCCCACTGAGGTTAGCCAAGATGGCCCAGGTGTCACCAGGGCCTGATGTCAGCACAGTTTGGGATGGAGCCTTGAGGATCTGAGGCCCTGCCCACCCTTGGCTATTCGTGCCCACCCTGATAGCCAGGGGCTCTTTCATGCCTCGGTTTCCTGCTCGAGGGAAGCACCTGAAGCCCTTTCACAGGCCCGGGTAACCTCTGCTGTGCAGCCTGGGAAAATCCCCAGGATACCAGGCTATTGGCAGAGAGCCTGCGGTCAGGGCCAGCCCTCCACCACCGTGGGGAAAGGCCTGCCATTGGGGTGGTGGCTTTTTTGCCCCAGGCTCCAGGTGCATGAACGTCCTTCTGAGGGATTTAACCCACATCGGGACTTGGGGGCAGTCAGGATACCGGGGAGTAAAACAGCAGTTCATTCCCACAGGCTCCTGGGGACAGGCGGTGTCTGGTTGGTGGTGGACCACGCTGGGGTGGCACACAGTACATTGGCCGGGTGAATGAATGAGCAGAGTCCAGAGCCTTTGCCCCTCCCTTCCCCCCGCTTGCGACCCCAGCCTCAAACTGGGCTCTGTTCCGTGAGCTCCTCAGTGACCTTGCGGGGCCATCCACAGGGTCAGGCATCCTCCCAGGGCTGAGGGGCTGAGGGAGACCCGCTGTGTCTCAGGCGCCCTGGCCTTCCTTGGCGAGGGAGACCTACAGCTCACCAGGCTAGGTGACAGGGAGGAGGCGACAGTATAGTTGAGCTGGACCTGAAGAAGGTGATGAGGTGGGTCAAGGGGTGGAGACAGAGCAGAGAACCCATGGAATTTACTGGAAATGAGTCCGGATGTGGGGGCAGAACATCTGGGTTGTGTGACCTTGGGGAAGTCATTTAGTCTCTTTGGGTCCCATCTGTAGGGAGGGCGTGGTGACAATCCAGCCCCGCAGGAGGCTGTCAGAAGGATGGAAGGAGACAAACGTGTGACCCTGCTTTGTGAACTGTCAAGTCCAATGTAAGGGACCCTGGTTTCTATTATTGGTGCTAAATCAGACTTTAGGTCTCTGGGTACTGTGATTCCCCCTCCTCTATCCTTCTGCCGGGGGAAAAAGACAGCACAGCCCCTCCTTCAACCACCACTTAGGGGTCCTATCTGTCACTGTGCATCAGCGAGTTATTAACACTCTGCCCCTGACCACTGAGCTGGGACATTTCCAGGAAGGGGGGAGATGATACTGACTATCTCGTTTATCTGGGACGGAGAAAAGGATGGGCAAGAAAGATACAGTCAGGGTTCTGGGGTCCTCAAAAAATTAGCATAGATTTCAGCTAAAGATAGCGAGTCCCAGAGCAGGGGAAAAAATGCTTCGGGTGGCCCCCAGATTTCTGAAGCTTCGACCCCCAGGACGAGCAAGAAAGCCCAGCCTCGCCTGTGAGCAGAGGTCTCCTCATGGAGCTCTAAGCGCGTGCAGGTCAGGATTGGAAACGCAGATCCGTGAGGCCGGACTGTCTGGGTTCAGGTCCCTACTGTCACTGTATGACCGGAAAGAAGTCACTTGAGTTCCTGGGGCTCAGTTTGCTTATCGGTAAGTAGAGGGCATGTGGGTACCCACCTCATGGAGCTGGCATGAGGCTGGTAGAAAGTGCAGGCCAGGGTTCAGCGTCAGGCCGGGGCCACACAAGAGCACGTGATGTGGACGCAGGCCGGTCTCAAAATTAAGGGCTCGAGTTAGACTTTTTGGAACAAGTGTGTTCCTGAGTGTCTCCCTGTTGGGCACAGAGGGGGCCCATTTTTGTGAGTGTTTCCCAGAATTGAGCTAACAGAAAAAAAAAAAAAGGAATAGCATTATCTGCAAGAGACAGTCCTAGACTTCTGATAAAGGAGTCTCTCAGGCTTGGGTGCGGGTGGAGGGGCTCGCCCAGAGTTCTCTGTCATTGTCTCTGGGGAGGGGTGGGCAGAGACCCAGCTCTGCTGGAGGGCAGCCCCTGATAACCAGAAACCCTCGTGGGCCCCTGAAAAGATGGAAGGAAAAGCAACCGGGGTGAGAAAAGAGCTT